TCTATCCTTTCATTAAATAATCGTAATGCATCACTTACTTTCTTTGAAATAACAGTGATTTCATTTTTAATTTTAATTGTGTCTTGACTATAGTGAAACTACTTAGTTTGGAGTAGTTCACGATCTTTGGACAGCGCGGCGGTTTTCTTCAAGCCGCTTTGAAACTCTCTGCCCTTGGCCGTGAGAGTCCTGGACCTAGTGTTGTTCTCGGAATGAATGTCAGTGAGTTCACTGGACGAAATTTCAACTATTATTGGACGTGTCGATGTGTTTTCCGACGAAACAAAGGGGAAGACACTAACCCCGATTCCTGCTGAGGCGACATTTTCTTCCGGTGTGGTATTTGGAGTGACTCCGAAACTTGGTTTAATCAGAAATTCTGCTGGCGTAGTATTTTGCATCTGTCCAAAGTTGCTTGGTTGAAAGCGAAACCCTTCTGGTGTCAGTCTGATCCCAGTGTCCCTTTGTTGAACTTGGTAGTGTTTTTGCGAATCCATGTTTTTCTCTGTGAGGAATTCGTAGTCTTTGACTGTAGTGGCCGCCTTCACCGGTTAATAAAGGGACGCGAGGAAACTGCAGTGAAGCAACCACAGGTCTAACAAAATCAGGCTGGTCCGTTTATTTAAGGCATGATAGACGATAACTTGATAAACACGACCTATAGGTTACGTTAGCAACAGTTCGATCGAAATCCAACCATACTGGTCGTCAAAGACTGTTAGGTTCCAACACAAAAACACGAGCGTGTTCCTCCGTGAATTCTAGCTACATAAAGATTTTTTAGTCGCCGTACTCAAGCGGTTTAGAGTTTATGTGCGAATCCAAAATACCCGTATAAAGAGATCACGCGAAGGAACGAAACTAAAGCTGAGGAAGTGTCAAACCCCAACTGCGGGTTTTAGACTGCGGCCAATTCGCAGCCATTTTTGCTTGGATTTCTATGGTACGCAAACAGCAGATTTCCCTTCTAACCTTATTGACAAGGAATGTTTCAATGTTGCGCACTAGCAATCAAACTTTTTGTGTACAGTAGAGTTGTAACTCACTTAAAACACCCCTCAAACAAAGACTGAAAATCATCAAGAACGTCTTGAAATTTTTTCGTTCGAGAATTAAGAAAAAAGTAATTCTTATTGCATCAATTTTCGACTTAATTTTTGATTTTACGATATGTGTGCCATTTTTCCAAAAATAAGGTCGGAAAGTAACATGAGACACAGTACTTGCACTGTAAGTATCCCAGAGAGATTCATATAATTCCTTATAATAAAATTCGAAGGAATTGTATGGAGCTTTTTTTAGCGTTAGTCGTGGCGCGGCGGGTGTTTTTTCATTAGGAGGCCAAGCTCTCCCAGTTCGTTCTTATTCCGTTTTAGATAACTAATAGTTCTTATCTAAATTTCCTAACAAGTGCTGACAGAATTGTGTCCAGTCTTATTTATTCTTGTAATGGATGAATACCAAAACGAAACTAGTTAATTCAGAGCGATTTTGAGTTACGGTATAGTCAGGAAAGAACGCTTTCGAATTAGGATTATGTCACGGGAACATGGAAACTCAGAGGTTGGAGCCTATCTGAGATTTAGAGTTTTACAAAGCCATTTGCTTACCTTCAATTCTATTGAAAATTATGTCAGGAGTTAGGACCATATTCATTTAACAAACACCTAAAAGGTTGAATTCTGAGTGACTG